TACAGCAACGTCTCAGAATATAAAATCAACATATACAAATTAGTAGCTTTCATATGCCAACAACAGTCAAGCTCAGAGTCAAATCAAATACTCTTCATAGTACCATCAAAGAAAATAAAATACCTTAGAATATATTTAACAAAGAAGGTGGAAGAACTCTATAGAGAGAACTATGAGACACTGAGAAAAGAAACAGTAGAGGATGCTAACAGATGGAAAAACATATCATGTTCACAGATTGGTGGAATCGTTGAAATGTCTATACTAAGGCTCAGCACTTACAGCTCAGTGGCTAGGGTGCCAGTCACATACACCTGGGCTGGCGGGTTAGAACCCAGCCCAGGCCTGCCAGAACAACAATGCCCACTACAACAACAACATCAAAAATAGTGGGGGGTTGTGGCCAGTGCCTGTAGTCCCAGCTACTTGGGAGGGTGAGGCAAGAGAATCACTTAAGCCCAAGAGGTGGAGGTTGCTGTGAGCTGTGATGCCAAAGCACTCTACAGAGAGCGACAGGGTGAGACTCTGTCTTAAAAAAAAAAGTTTATATTACTCAAAGTGATTTACACATTCAATGCAATCCCCATTAAAATACCAATATCATACTTTGCAGATCTTAAAAAGTAGTTCTACGTTTCATATGCAATCAGAAAAGACCCCAAATAATGGAACCTTACATAGTAAGAACAAATTGGGAGACATCACTTTACCAGACTTTAAGCTGTACTATAAGCATATACTAGTAACTAAAACTCCAGGGTATTGGCACACAAATAGACATAGACCAATGGACCAAAACAGAAAATCCAGACATAAAACCATCCTCACACTGCTATCTGATCTTTGACAAAGTAGACAATAACATACACTGGGCTCAGCACTTGTACCTCAAGAGGCTAAGGCACCAGCCACATACACCAGAGCTGGAGGGTTCAAATCCAGCCTAGGCCTGCCAAACAACAATGACAACTACAACCAAAAAATAGCCAGGCACTGTGGCGGGTGCCTGTAGTCCCAGCTACTTGGGAGGTTGAGGCAAGTGAATCACTTAAGCCCAGGAGTTGGAGGTTTGCTATGAGCTGTGACGGCACAGCACTCTACCAGCAACAACTTGAGGCTCTGTCTCAAAAAAAGAAAAAAAATATACTGGGGAAAAAAGTCCCTATTCAATAATTGGTGCTGGGAATATTGATTAGCCACATGCAAAAGACTGAAGCAGGATCCACAACTCTCACCACTTGAAAACATTAATTCACAATGGTTAATAGACTTTAATACATGAAATAATGAGAATTCTAGAGGAAGATGTTGGAAAAACTCTTACAAACATCACCTGGGCAAAGACTTTATGAAGACAGCAACAACAAAAGCTAAAAAATGGGACCTGATTAAATTAGAAAGCTTCTGCACAGCCAAGGAACAATCAATAGAGCAAACAGATAACCTACAGAAAGGGAGAAAACGTCAGTGGGCTGTACATCCTGTGAAGAAATTATAACCAGAATCTAGAAAGAACTCAAGCAAATTGGCAAGAAAAAAAAAAATCAAACCACCCTGTAACAAAGTAGGCAAAAGACACGAACAGAAGTTTTTCAAAAGAAGACGAATGGCCAATATCATATGAAAAAATGTTCAATATCTCTAATCTTTAGGGAAATGAAAATCAAAACCACAATCAAGTATCACCTAACTCCAGTGAGGATGGCTTTTATCAGAAAGTCCTCAAAACAACCGATGCTAGTGTGGATGTGAAGAGAAAGGAATTCTTATACACTGTTGGTTGGAATGTAAACTAATACAACTTCTATGGAAAGTTGTATGCAGTTATCTCAAAGAACTAAAAGTAGACCTACCATTTGGTTCAGCAATTTCACTACTAGAAATTTACTTAAAGGAAAAAAAAGTCATTTCATCAAAAAAACACGTGCACTCGTATGTTTTGTATTGTATTGTATTGTAGCACAATTCACAATCACAAAGTTGTGAAACCAACCCAAGTGCCTATCAATCCACGAGTAGATTACTAAAATGTGGTATACATACACCATGGAGTACTATTCAGCCATAAAAAAATACCAATCCCTTTTGTACATGTAACAACCTTAATGGACCTGCAGACTATTCTTCTAAGGGAAATTTCACAAGGATGGAAAAACACACAGGAACTCACTATTAAAACTGAACTAATGAAGCAATACCCTTGGTAGTAAAAGTCAATATAAAGCATGCAAGTGGGGAGGGGGCAATGGGGGGATTAAATTAACACCTAATGGGTACAATGCACACTATCAGCATGAGGGGCATACGTAGAACTTCAACTCAAACTGTTCAAAAACAATTCATGTAAATTCAAAACATTTATACCCCCATAATATTCTGAAATTAAAAAAAAAAAAAAAAAAGGAATGCAGAACCTCAGGCCTTAGCTCAAACCCCGAGTCAGAATCTTTATCTTAACAAGCTCCCCGGGCAACCTGTCTACACACTAAAGTTTGAGAACTGTAAGAGAGGAAAACTCCAGGATCTTCTCAGAGTCTAGGGATGGGGAGTGACCTGCATTCCCAAGGCCAGATCCTGAAGATGCCTTTACACACCAACCAGGGAAAACTAGACTGAGATTACTCAGTGCTAATTCTGAAAAAGGAAAAATAAAGCTCAGTGAAGCACTTTCCCCGAGTTTCCAGACTCTTGGGCACTCTGAAGAGTACCAAAATTCACCTTCCAGGGTCATACTGTCAGCACATGCTGCCCCCCACCTCTGCTTTCTGTTTTGGTCTGGCAGCCCCACGTGGCTGACTATATGGGGGCACCATCCTAGTGATTTCCTTTCATGGCAACCTTGAAGTGACCGTCTTCCATCATCTGTGCTGATCAATATTAATTTATTTTAAAACTAAATCTATTTCATTTAAATTTAAATGAAACTTTAAATTTGTATACAGAAGGGCTTGGAGGTTTGGGGGGTCTAAGTAGACTTTTCCAAATCATGAACCACCAAACATTTTTCTTTCCGTACTGAAATACAGTGTTTGTCTCATTTAAGTTCTTAGGTGTGACATGATTTCAGGGCTTGTCATTACAATAGTTGGGAATATGATCATACAACAGACAGAACGTCTTCAAAAGCCACTTCAAAAGCCACTTCAAAAAGCCACTTAAAAAATCTGTTCAAGGCCTGATGTAATGGCTCACACCTATAATCCTAACACTCTGAGAGGAGGCTGAGGCGGGAGGATTGCTTGAGCTCAGGAGTTCCAGACCAGCCTGAGCAAGGGCAGACCCCATCTCTGCTAAAAATAGACAAAAAAAAAAATTAGCCAGGTGTCATGTTAGATGCCTATGGTCCCAGCTACTCAAGAGGCTGGTACAGGAGGAGGCTTGAGGAGTCTGAAGTTGCTGTGAGCTAGGCTGATGCCAGGAAAGCTGAAATTTTCTTTTTATTACCTAAATCAACTTGCTATTGCAAGTTCACAGAGGTCACACACAGATCTCATTCCTAACAATGCTCTTTATTATCTGAAAATTAGGACAAGTTTGCCTTTTTTACATATCATATTATCATCACATTTCTGTTTAACATCTTATTTCAAATGTGTAAAAACCGTATGAGGTAAGAACAACCATAAGACACAGGAAGCTCTGGATATGCCTAATGTGCAGAACCAGACAGCAACCAGCTGTCAGCTCTCTTCCTAGTTTTGGCTCAAGGGAACATCATGTTAAAGAAAACCTAGCCTGCTGTCCTCATCCTCTGGAAGTAGGGCTGAGGCTGAGTGTCTGGGTTTCCAAAAGCCTTTCAAAGCCACCTGACCGGCTGGGGACAGCCAGGCTAGTCCCTGAGTCCCAGCAGGAACCCACAGCTGCACAATGGGCTGGAGCCCCAGTGTGAGGTGAGGCAGGGTGCTGCTGCCTGAGCAAATGCCCTATCAACAGGAGGAGCAGGAGATCTGAGAAAAGGCAGTGCAGCCAGACAGAGTGACCAAACAGGGAGACCTAGCAAAAGCACAGGGCCCTGTGTGACCCAGCGCACATCCAAGCATTTCTGACCCTGCAAGATACCTTTGCCAAGATAAATGCAATTAATTTCCATCAGATAATAACTGTTCAAAGTCTCAAAAAAAAAGAAACAAAGAAAAGGAAAGAAAAAAGGTTAAGTGAAATCAAATGAGTATGAACATGAAAGAGAACTCTGAGTAATATGCACTAAAAAGATAAAAGTTGACCAATGCTCTATACTATCTAATATCTATTTAATGTAGTGTATATGTTCATGCTCCACAATCCTTCATTAAATGACTGGGGCAGAGAAGAGGGCAAAGTGAGGAGGAGAATGCAATTTTTCTTAAAAAAACTGTTCTACCATTCTCTACTCAATGAGCATGGATGAAGGAATAAAGCTACACCAAAGCATTGGGTGAGGGGGAACACAGCACAGGCTGACAGAACCCAGCCAGCCATTAAGATAGACCTGCCAGGACCTGAAAGTGTTCTAGACTCTGTGGTAGATGGAATTCCTATTCCCAATTTCCCACCTATCCTTTCCCACATTGCCTTGTAGGCCCATCCCCCTGAAGACACAGTGCATTCCTTGCCCCTTGACTCAGGTTCAATCATACGAATCCCTCTGGCCAGTGGGATGCTAGACTAAAATGGACCTGCTTGAAATGAACTTTTGTAACCATAAGAAGAGCCTCTGCCTTGAAAAGCCCCACAAGGCACACATGTAGAGCAGACCTGAGCTCAGCCTGCAGCAAGAAGTCAACTTGTCAATCCAGTTAAAACAGCTTGAAGCAGAGCTCCCAGCCACATCAATCCAGATCTGCCAACTTCCAGAAAAAGCAAAGAATGACTGCTATTGTGAGCTATTAATTTTTTTGGAATGTCTGTTACTCAGCCTTACTGTGGCAATAGCTGACTAATACAGTGGCAATCCCAAAGGGAATCCATAAGTAACTTAAAGACAGCTTTTCCCTCTAATCATGAAAAAATCAGTTACTCACCAGGCTCACCTTTTTTCTTTGAACCAGACTTCTTCTTTGCAGGTGCCTCTAGCTTTGGTGCCTCCTGGCTCCGGACCGTATCTGTATTTTTGCCCTGGATGGCAGCCGACTCAGTCTTTTTACCCTGATTAGCAGCCACATCCACCTTCTTGCCCTGACTGGGGGACCCTTCTGCCTTTTTGCCCTGGTTTGGTGTTCCCTCTGCCTTTTTGCCTTGACTGGGAACCCCCTCTGCTTTCTTCCCCTGGTTTGTAACTCCCTCTGCCTTTGTGCCCTGATTAGCAATTGCATCTGCCTTTTTGCCCTGGTTGGGGGTCCCCTCTCCTTTTTTGCCCTGGTTCTGGGCCCCCTCGGCCTTTTTGCCCTGATTTTGGTTCCCCTCAGCCTTTTTGCCCTGGTTTTGGGCTCCTTCTACCTTTTTGCCCTGGTTTGGGACTCCCTCAGCCTTTTTGCCCTGGTTTGGGGTTCCCTCACCCTTTTTCCCCTGGTTTGGGGTTCCCTCACCCTTTTTCCCCTGGTTTGGAGTTCCCTCTGTCTTTTTGCCCTGGTTCTGGGCCCCATCTGCCTTTCTCCCCTGGTTTGGAGTTCCATCTGCCTTCTTACCCTGGTTTTGAGCTCCATCAACATTTTTGCCCTGGTTTGGGGTTCCCTCAGCCTTTTTCCCCTGGTTTGGGGTTCCCTCGGCCTTTTTCCCCTGATTTTGAGCTCCTTCTACCTTTTTGCCCTGGTTTGGGGTTCCCTCTGCCTTTTTACCCTGGTTCTGGACCCCATCTGCCTTTCTTCCCTGATTTTGTATCCCCTCTGCCATTTTCCCTTGGTTCTGGGCTCCCCCGGCTTTCTTACCCTGGTTCTGGGCCCCTTCCACCTTCTTGCCCTGGTTCTGGGCCCCCTCTGTTTTCTTACCCTGGTTCTGGGCCCCCTCGGCCTTCTTGCCCTGATTCTGGGCCCCCTCGGCCTTCTTGCCCTGGTTCTGGGCCCCCTCGGCCTTCTTGCCCTGGTTCTGGGCCCCCTCGGCCTTCTTGCCCTGGTTCTGGGCCCCCTCTG